ATCCGGTGGACACCATCACTCAAAATCTACTCGACCGATCAACTTCATATTTTATACACTATTTAAGTAGATGATATATGAGGTAATGACGTCGAGATATTTTAACTTTTTGCATTTTTAAATGCTTTTTACGAACAAGTACGATGAATTTTTGCCTTCATTTTGTCAAAAAAGTCATTTTTTCACTTCAAAATGATGCCAAAAACTCAAAAATCATTTTAAAAGAAATATCTCGACGTCATTACCTCATAATTTATGTAGATAAATAGTGAGAAAAATTTGGAAAGAATCGGTCGAGTAGATTTTCAGTTACAGTGTCCACCGCAATCGATCTTATTTTTTCAGTTTTGTGAGAAAATTTGCTGTAGTTAGCTTATTTTTCACTATTTTCAGCTGAAAATTTAACTGAATGTTCTTCAAATAACCATTTATAATGTATATAATTTATAGATAAATTCATTTTACTATGTGCTTAAAAAAAATTATTAAAATGCAGCTCGAAAACCATCGAACAAGACCCTACCCCCCCCTNCCCCCCCCCTCTTAAGATATACCTATGCTACATTCCCCATATTTATTGAAATATGAGAGAAAAACTGTAAACCACCCATATATTTCTATGTTAATATCCCCCCTCCAGGCACTAACATTACTTCGCTCAGATGCAGACCACACTTTTTATTGCACACTGTGCATAAATATCACTCACTGTACAAAGTGACATGATCGAGTTGGATATCTCACGTACCATCAGCTGTATTTACCAAATAATAAATTAATCACCTTTGAGTAGTGTGTAATACACGGTTAAACATTTTTTAATTAATGTTCTGTTTTGCGCAATGCTGAAATTTGTGAAATGTACCGTACACGAGTTTACTATAGAATAAAGCAACATACTATTCAGGAACCAAGTAGTCTCAGTTTTAAACTCATAACAAATTTTTCTTTAATATTTAAAATTTTATGCATAAATAAATTTCAATACTTCTTGTGAAAGATATTGACCTCGTCTCATAAAATATATCATTTAGATCTTCGATAATTTCAATCATTACATTTACAAGTTTTGTTTCAAACAATTATTATACAGCTCTACATAAATTTATAGTGTACTTGAGGGAAAAAAGGAAAGATTCAGTCGATGAATGAAAGCTCGACAAATAAGGGAGTCATTTTGGTTTATAGCTCACAAAAAAAATTTTTTAACTTACAAAATAGCGTCGATATAGAGGAAAAAATTTCAAAAATTCGTTTCGTTTTTTTTTTAAACTTTCAGAACGACTGGTCAAGTATATTTTTAAGTTAGGATGGTTGGTAACTACAAAACCATTATGTCGATTAAAACGCGTTCACAGTTTCTAATTGTCATTAAAGCGCCGTGTAGTCACTTGCGCTCAATTTTGAGTTTGACGGTCTAAATTCGAATTCCTGTACCAAATTTTAGAAGCTGATTCTTGAAAGTATAAACAACTCAAATTGTTCTTTGATAATGGAAATTATTCTTGGATGTAATGCACCAAGTGAATGGGAGTTGCAAATTTCATGAGAATGTGACAAAAATCACGATGGTCTAGATGAATCTCAAATCGATTAGAACATTCTCATAAATACAAAATGCTGAGTTTTATTTAAATGTAATCACATGAACTTTCTTACGTGAAGGGAACATAAAAATATTTTTGATCGTTTGTTATATCTTTCAGTATACTATATCAACATTGATAAATATAAATATACAGCTTAAATGCAGAAAACCTGGTTTTCTGTAGATCAAATGTTTCTTTTTTGGGCTGTATAACAACAAGTTGCAATTCTTAGTTAGAATTATAGACTCTAAGGAAAGCGTGGAGAAATATATCTTATCTCGATGCTAAGTCGTTCAAACGCTTTTCAAGTTGCTTCCCAACTACGTAAATAATTGTCCAATCGTTCCGTTCTCCAAGTTCTCATTAAACTTTTAACGTGGCTTTACAAGACACATTTTTTAAAGTATAGAAACGGTTTTATATCTTCTTAACTTTACAAACAGTTTATCGCCAATGAGTTACATTTCATGCAGGCACGAAATTGAAGAGAAAATGCCACCATTCTTGAAACCATTGATAGCGAATCGCTTTTTCCAAATTTTTCATTCATGTAGTTGGTGAATTTTTTATCAAACAAGAACATATTTAAAGCTATTGGTTAATTTACAACAGTAACAATGTCACACTCAATTATACATTTTAATTTGTTATAAACGTGATTTCGTTTCTTTATTTTTTACATATATAGTTACTTTTGTAAGTACAGACGTGATTTAAAAGGATCAATTGAAAAGCAAAATGATAGAAAGCCGTTACTTTTATCAGTGATCAACTCAGCCGTTGATGAGATTTAATAGTTTTTTAGTTGGATCAACTATAGCAACATCTAGTATGTCACAATAACAATTTTTTACTGCGTTTTACCAGGATCGTGAGACGGCGTTGATTGACCCAAGAAAAATTAATAATAGTTATCAAAATAGCTAAGTCGGATATTAATATCATTTTTGTATGTAATAGCATTATGGTCATTACCTTAGTTTTAATATTCATGTAAGGATACGGTGTGAGATCGGCTTTCTCGTGGGTTTCATTGTTTTTGTTATATTGTACGAAGCTACCGACAACGAGGAGCGAAGGTAACATGAAGAAAAATGTCATGGACTGCCAAAATTTAAATTTCTTTTCGGGTTCTAAAAATCACGAAGTAAATGTTACGTTACGAGCTTAATTTTTTCAATTTTTATTGTTGTTAAAAAGTATTTTTACAACGAGACAAAAGAGAAGAGAAAATAGAGAGTCTTTTACCGTCACTGCAGCAGACGGGAGAAGCGTCGCACGGACACGGCGGCTGCATCATACTCTGGCAGCCCATTTGTGTCAACATGTTGGGATTAATAGGAGTCGGACACGAGGGACACGTCGTCGATAAACACTGCACCGGGCCGCCACCGGAGCCTGCTGTATTACCGTCACCAACGGCATATTAGGATTCATTACTCGCGTTTCGTTTAGCAGGGTCCGAATCGCGTACATTCAACATATAGTAAGGTAACTTACAAGGATCCGGGGGACTTTGGCACGCTCGAAAATGTGGCAAGTCTTTGGAATTATTTGGCGGGTTGGCGCCACTCACATTGGCGCAAGGATCGCATCGAGGGCAGCCAGGTTTGCTAAATTGATTATCGAGAGGGAAAAAAATCAAAGACTCAGGGCGCAAATGTTGGCGGATGTAACGTATTTTATACCTCGAAGTCTCGGAACAAGTCAATCGACAAGATTTAGAATAATATCCCCCGGGCGTCCAAGTAGTCGCTCTACCCGTGTTGAAGAGTTTAGGGTGGCTGACTGACTTCGTGGCTTCCTGCATGTTAGAAGGGGCTTTACTCTGATTGCTGCTCGATAAACTGTAGGGTTGCTGACAACACGAGGGCTGCGTATTAGTCGACGGATCGGCCGAGTGACAGCATTTCGGGGGCCTCCAGCTCCTGTTCGACGGGCAAGTTGGAGCCTTGTCGAATTCGCTTGATCCATCACTGCTGCTGCTGCTGCTGCTGCTGCTGCTGCTGCTGTTGTTGCTGCTCTTCGAAGAGGAGCCGCGATGCGTCGAGCTCGAGAAAGAATCGCTTATCTCTTTGCAGCCTGCACTACCTCCTTTGCGGCAATTGCTGGACGGACCGAGCGCACTACTCGTTTGACTGAAATTTTTTTCAGTGTAATTTAGGTTATGACTTAATAACTTCAACTTCGAAGCTCGGTTCAACGATACTAAATTTTTCAAAGGGTTTAACGGGAAAAACATCGTGAACGTGACCACGGGCTATTTTCAAGTATTTTTCTAATTTTTGGTCAATAGTACGGCGAATTTTGGCTGAAACGAAACCTTCGCGAAAGTTTTTGGCTTAAAAAATGTTGATCACATGTTTCCTACTCTGTACGGAAACGAGTTTTGTCTCGGACACTTAACCTATTTATATTCTATTGAATTCGCCATCGCTACTAAAACACATGAACAAAAGGTAGGATTTATATTTTAGTTATTTACAGTTAATGTGAATTATGCAAAATTCTGCTCGCGTCAGCGGCTAAATAGGTCAATCATTGTATTTGAATATTCATATTGCATTTTCTCAAACACCGAATTCCATAAATAAGCCTATATTTGACTTTGTATTTTGAAAACAATGACCGATTCGTTTTTATTATTGGATCATAAAATATCATACCAACGCGTCGAAAACGCAGGTTTTATTGAGTGCTCATAACACTCGAACAAAGAAGTACATATACCGTTGCTTAAATGGTGGTGTAAATTTCTTTGAGAGCTCCGTAAATTTGCTTGTTAAAATTTAAATTTGCCGCATTTACTGACGCAGCATTGGTACACGTGTTTAGAAGTATGTCTTTGAGTTATTAACAAACAAGCGGCTCAATGAGCAGTGCTGAAGTGCCTGCGCACGTAAAAAAATATAACCGATATACATTCGAGATTCGAGTTTCAACTGCGCTATCTTAGTCAGGTATTTCATTTTTAATAGTCTTGGTCGCGAATTAAAAGTACCAGCCACATCCACCCCCAACGCATAGGTTTGCAATACCAAGGCACCCTACTACTGAAATTTAGCCAATTTCCTATTTATACTTGCATCATGGAGATAAGTTCGACTTTGCATACAGAGGACAAAGTTATTCCATAAATCTTAATTAAGACTTTGGATCATCATATGTCAAACGTGAGTTTGGGAAATAAATGCAACGATTCGACAGTAAAAATATTATTTTATCCAAAAACAACCTATAAACATGATATTTTATGTTTTAAAAACTTTAGGACAAATTTTACAAGATCTTTTAAGCCAAGATGCTTTCACTTATATCTCAAAGTACTTTGTGCTATTAACCGAGTTTGAAGGTCCTACCACTTACGTCAAAATATTACTAAAAAAATTTTTATTTTTTACTCTCACGACTGCAAAACATTGAGGCAGAAGCTAATAAGGAATTTTCTCGCATAAAAATTTCGACATTGTGTTGCACGCTTTGATACTTAGTGAAGACTTATATCCAGCAAAAGTTGGCAGTTGGATCAGAAAAATATATATAGTCACTGCAATAAAATTATTGGACTTTATTTTGCTATTGATTTCACATCATTTTTTCGCTGTGGCGACAAAATATCTTTTTCTGATCTAACTGTCTACTTCTGCTGGATCTACCCACAAAATTTTTTTCAAATAGTTCAGTGCCTTTTTAATTCAAGTACGTCTAAGTGCGTACATGCACAAGTAATAAAATTGCAAAGCATGCATCACACAATGTACGTGTTTGTCAACAATTTCGTTTATTTCGTACATCTGAAAATTCTCTTGCATTTAAATTTATCGAAATTTCGCGCACTCTTTTAAAAATAAAAATTAATGAATTCCTTGCGCGAAAAAATATACTAAATGCAGGGTATACATAGTTTTTGATTACAAAAAGCCTCAGGATTGCGGTCGGATCGAGTAGCGAGAAATTTCATTGCAAATATTAGGGTAAAATTAACCATTTTAACATACATTATTATGCGAAATTATGCGAACTGGACCGAGTACTGCAATCAACGTAACAATTATGGTCGCATGTACTCTTCCTCTTTATAGAAGAAAAATAATTTGAAAGGGAAAAAAATATTTTCTGTTATCATCGCAAAAATTATTAATTTTTTTTTTCGAATTTTATAGAACAAAACTGCCTTGAAATTGGTCAAAGGGAATCCTCAATTTTTTCAAAATTTTTTATCATAATTTTCGAAAATCGAACTTACCAACTTTTCTAAATAGTTCAAAATTATCTAATTAATTATCAATTATTCATTTACATAAATTTTAATAGTTGAAAAACAAATTTCAGATAAAAATCAATTATTATCTAAAAAAATAATTTAAAAATTAAAGTGATTTTCATTTTTGTTTTAATGAATGATCAATGCTAGTTCAGTTAAATTTTATTTTAGGGCCATGAGGGGAAAATTATCATCTTAAATGTCGTTCATTTCACGAAATCAAGTTAAAATTTTTACAATAGATCTTCAGAACTTTAGTATGTCGTGAAAATTTAAATTGATCTCCTATTTTTGTTTGTATTTCATGAGAAGCATAATGTACCAGAACAGCTGGAAAAATAATCAAAAGATGAGCGCTCGAGCGTAGTGAGCAACAAACTCACTACGCTCACCCCACTCTGCGATACCAGAAAGAGAGACTTATGGCTTCGAAAGAGGGATATGAATGTGAACTTAGCACAATGCTATAAAATTGAGTATGATATTCATCTGAATTGGTAAATTTGAATTGTCATGCGATGACAAGTTAGTTGCATTTTGATGAGCCGAGGTTGACAATGCAAAACATAAATCTTTTTCAGAGAAGGAATATAATTTGTATAATTTATGTATGTGTGTGGTTTTCTGATAGCCTTCTGAAAATAGTTCCAGAGCAAAGCTGAATTAAAAACAAATTATTGTTGAAATAGGCACAAAGATTTATTTTGTGAAAATAAATGATGTTGAGTTTGATTTTAATCATTTTGATGTCATATTTTCACTTTTAAATTTTAACAAAAAAGCTATTACTTATTTAGTTATTTAATAAAATTTAAATAACCAATGAAATCTCTTTAAATTTAATTGTTTAACGTAACATTTAGAGGACAGTATAAGAGAGGAAAGGAATAAGGAACTATTTTTTAAAATAATTTTTTCGTAAATGTAACTATTACATTTTCAATCGTCGATGCCATTTTTTGTCTGGAATTTTATTTTCGTTTTATTTAAGTGACTTAAGGATGCGGAGGAGGTGGAAGCAAAAAGATTTTGCATTAAAAATTGTAGCTGTAAAGGTTGATTCCTTTGTTTTAGAGTATTTATGTATAATTGGCTAACATATCGTTAAATAAGTTAAGTAATTAAAGCGCAAATTTTGTTCTGTAATTAGGATAGATTTTTATAAAGAAAAAAAAAGAAGCGTTTAAGTATAAATGAGAAAGAGGTAAACGGAGCTCGCACACCTACGAAACGGCACCTATAAAAAACGTGCGAGATCTTTAATTCAAATAATTTTGCCCTCTCTTTTGTATGCCAAGTACGGACAGGTGCAAATCAGAAGCACCAAAGGTAAAAAATACGGTGACTGAAGAAGCAACGAAAAAGCATAAATTAATTGAACGTGAATTCGTTATAGGATGGTATGTGTGTATCAGAATGCTGGAAAGGTAGGTATATATTCTATCGAGGGTGCAAAGTGTCATCCAATAACGAGGAGTGACGAGAAGCTTCAACGTCGACAAAGCCTCGAGAACTAAAGCGAGAGAGAGAGAGAGAGAGAGAGAGAGAGTAAAGTAGGCCAGGTGCTTTCTCTCTCTCTCTCCCTCTTTACTACGTCACGAATTCGATATAAACACAGGACCACAAGCTCTCTTTATCGGAAAATAGCGACGATCGCCCGGTTGATTAGCGAGGGGGTCAGAAGTAGCCGTCGGCCGATATCTCATCATATTTCGTCGAATTGCAATGCGGATACAAATATCAACAGAGTCAGAGCTCTCTCAGTCTCAATATATCTCTCAACTGCAGGATGTCCAGGAGCGTTGAGCAAGGCTCGTTCATTCATATCGATTAGAAAATCACTACATTTATATACACTCGACGCGTCTATTGCTTACGTCGAATACGTTGACATATACAGCATCGTCGTGCGTGTCAGCCGGCGAGAACTAAAATCCTGCGCGCACGAGCAAATAGACGGAAAGTAGATATGCACGGACTGCATATACATGCCGCGATCACGAGAATCATGTTAAATGCGAAATACCAAACTACAGATGTACGTATGCATAATCGTAAAAGAAGAGTCAGGTAAAAAAAGGCGGGAGAGCTCGTTCGAGGATCGGCGCACGCGCTAAGCTTGTAACCTGTTTCGGCCGAAATCTCGGCCAGCAACAACTGGGGTATCGCACATGCTACACGGCTATTTATGTATTATTGTACATTGTATAATGTATATAAAATTAAACTTTCTTCAGCAAATTTTTACAATTTATATATATATATATATATTATATATGCATGAAACTCGTGTATATGTGTTCGTGTGTGCACACACGTGATCCAATGTACAGCTGATGAGTAGTATACTTGAGTTGTATAAAAAAGAGCAGGCCTATAGCGTACACGAATATATACAAGTTACTGTAACGGTGAAGACGCTCAGTAGTAACAGTCATGCCGCAGTCGTAGTGGTCGTCTCGTTTTATTCAAGCGAGCTTTTATGGGCCATAGCACATCAGTGCGATCGATCAGCCACGCGCGCGCGAGCTTTGACGTCACGCCGAGCCCACGTCATAGAGAGAGAGAGAGATGAACAGAACCAGAGCCCAGCCTCTTTCTCCCCTACCACCTTCTTCTTCCACTTCACTCGGTATTCTTTTTTATCCTTACACCCCTTGTAAATAACGTCATCGTCGCTATTTCTACGTCAGTGAGTAATACATGTAGACGCACAGTCGGTGTAAAGCCTTGATACATCAGGCCGCCTGCGCAAAGGCCAGAGCAGCATAGGCACATTGATGCTGCGTCGTCCGTACCCGGCCGGTATTCGTCCTTTCAAATAAATAATTAATTCATTTTCTCTTGTTCTACCGCTTACTTATGAGATTTTTTCGATAAAATCGTTTGCTAGCTTTCGAATTGTCTTAGGATCGGTTGTATTTCGTTGAGCTATTTTCATCGCGTTTCGAAATAAGTTTAATTCTCGTGGAACATAAGCACTGATGTTTGTGCTTTCTCTCTCTTTCTCTCTCTCTT